TCCTTATTCTCCACCGCGATTGAATCACATACATCTTTTCTTTGCCCCTCCGCCATGGCCACACCCTCCGACTCCAACGCCGTCGTCGTCGAGCACCCCAAAACCTTCCTCAACCTCTCCTTCAACCAAGGCGGCGGCCGCTTCACCGCCGCCACCAACGAAGGATTCATGGTATTCGAAACAGACCCTTTCACCCAAACCCTCCGCCGCACGTTCTCCTCCAACGGCCGCGGCGGCGGCGGCATAGGCATCGCGCAGTCGCTCCCCGGCTCAAATATCTACGCCCTAGTGGGCGGGGGCCCCACGACAAAGTTCCCCAAAAATAGAGTCATGATCTGGGACGACCAACTCCGGCGGTGCGCGTACGAGTTCTCGTACCGCTCGGAGGTGATGTCGGTCCGGCTGCGGCACGACCGCATAGTTGTGGTCCTGCCGCAGAAGATCAAGGTCTACGACTTCTCCGACCTGAAGCTGGTGCACGAGATGGTGACGGAGCACAACCCTAAGGGTTTGTGCGAGATTTCGAAGACCGGGCCGTTTGTACTGCTGAGCCTAGGGCTGCAGAAGGGACACGTCACCGTGCATGATTACTACCGGAGAAGGAATAAACAGTTTCCGGCGCATGATTCCGATATCGCGTGCCTTTCGTTGTTGAGTGACGGCAAGCTTTTCGCCACCGCTAGTACTAAAGGGACCTTGATTAGGGTTTTTGACTCTACCGATGGCTCTTTGCTTCAGGAGGTACGTACAATTTCTTTTTTTCTTTTAGATATATATTCAGCATTGACATATAATTAGGGGTGTAAGTTGGAATGAAAATTCTAACTTTGGAACAATTTTTTTCATTCCGACTTTCGAAATTCTAATTTCCGAATTTATCGAGTTCTTTTGGATTGGAATTGGAATTATATTAAAAAAAAATGGAATTCTTGATTTTCGTTCCGATTTAATTTTCGAAATTAATTTCAAAAAAATCTGATTTTTTTCCAAAAAATACACCTATAAATGATATCTATTATATCGTACTTATTTTAAGTTTTTCTTTGTTTTCTGATACAGTGATTTGATTTGTTGTTACAAGTTTTATTGGATATTAGTTTTACTTTTGTCGACATGGATGTTCTTATTTTTAGCAAATTATGATTTTTTATGAAAATTTCTGCTAAGTTTTGAAATTTTATAACTTATGTGATTTCCGAAATTTTCCGAAATTCCGAAATTTCCGGGCCTTTAAGAATTGGAATGAATTTTTAAATTTCGAAAATTTTGGAATTGGAATTGGAATATTTGAATTGATTTTGTACTTCCGAAAACTTTTGAAATTTTTTCGAAAAGGCTAATTCCAATCGAATCCATCTAACTTTCTCTCCTACCTGTAATACTACCGTTATAAAGTTCACTTTATTGAATGCAGCTAAGAAGGGGTTTCGAAAGAGCGGAGATTCACAGCCTTTCGTTTTGTCCGACCGCACCACGGCTGGCTGTTTCAAGTGATAAAGGAACTGTACATGTTTTCAACGTAAACATTGTCGATTCAAATTTGAGAATCAACGGATGGCTAAATGCAGAACTGAAGGAACTCGCTCCAGCTCCCGTTTCACGTTTTTCTTTCATTAAAGGTAGTTTTATTTCGAAGCAACATCATATAATCCTTCAATTTACTATGAAAAATATATATATCTATAAACTAATAACATCGCTTAAATAACAATCTCTCTTGGTTCTGACTCGGTAATAATAATCTCTCTTGGTTCTGACTCGGTAACAACGTGCTAAATTATTAATTCTGTAATTTAATATTCCGCTAAATTAATAGAATTTTACTAGTCATAACTGTATTAATAATGTGGGAATTAATGCAGGTTATCTCCCAAAGTATTTGAGTTACGAGTGGTCGGTGGCTCACTTTCGCGTAAAAGAAGGCTTGCGACATATGGTTTCTTTCGGCAAAGAGAAGAACACGCTTGACATTATCGGCATCGATGGAAGGTATTATTCTATTAATTAAAATTGTCATTTTATTTGTAACAATATACTTTTTTTCTTAGTATTTTTCACTCTAATTTTCGAAAAAAGATCTTCAAGTTTTAATATATTTTTTTTTCGGTTGTCGATACAGATTGTACAGATGCAAATTTGATCCGGAGGCCGGTGGAGAGATGACTACACTGGAAAGCCACAACTTCATCCAGACAGAATTGAATTGAACTGATCTTTATATATATGTGTGTGTATATATATCTATTGGTTAGATTTTACCATTTAATTTAGTCACGCAAATACGTTGAAATAGAAACGAGTAATTTACTAATTAGATCTCCCTTGAGATCCGATATAAATTGCTAGAATTTTTTTAGGGGTCTTTACAAATAAGCCTATGAATGGATACTTATTTATAAAGAGATTCAGACAATAAACTCCTTTACAAATAAGTCCACACATGATCCAATTTTTTGTAAAACAGTAAAATAGCCCCTTATAATTTAATATGCTCCAATTTCACCCTTAATTTAATTTAACCTCAATTTGACCCAAATTTCACAAATTATTCAATTTTGACCCAAAACACATTTTTATGGACAAATTCGTCTGTCACCGCCGTTGACCGCTGGTCTCCGGCGTTGACTTTTTTTTTTTTTTTTTTTTCTCTTCCGGCTTTTTTCGCTGGTCCGGTCTCCGTATTACCACACCGTCGCCACACGACACAATCCCAACACCGGCCCCCAAAACCATCACAAACACCGGCTATATCCAAACACACCGCCATAAACACAATATACAAACATACCACCGCCACAAGCATCTTCACGAATACAACCATCCTGTTTCAACTATTTCCCGAAGATCATGTTTAATTTCACTACTTCCTCCTCTTCTACTTTTGCACGGCGCCAGCGGTGGTGGTGGTGGTGGTAGTGGTGGTATAATTACTTGTACTTTGTTTCTACTAATCACACCATCTAATAAGTAAAGGGGTTTTCATTAATTAGAAAAAAGGGTTATCTCCTACATTGATTTGCCAAATTAAGTACGGGGTTTTGCTAATTTTTCCTAATGAAAAACCGAAAAATTTAAAGAAAATAGTCCTTCTTTAGAAACAACACGCACAATTATAAATCCTTTCAATTTTATGCATCAAATAGAGGATGAAAGATAAAATAAATCCACGTCTTATTCAAATACATTATATAAGTTTCACAACATAAACCAAACGTCAAACAAATACAATAGAAGTTTTACAAGATGACCATTATGTATATATTATTGATCTTATTCCATGCACACATTTTTTTTTTTTTCATTTCTTACATAAGGAGATGACCATATTAGAGAACGGTGGTGCGTCCGTAGACGATTGAAGCTCTCCCAGTTTATGTCCAAACCTTTCATACATCTCATCCATAATGGAGCTCCCAAATTGTGCAGCCATGATTGGCTCCGTAAAAGCCCGGGTGAAGTTGGCTACGATTTCCGCAGTCGTAGCGTTACTATTTCCATCATTTGCGTCCCACGGGATTAGAAATCTCTCGAGTTTCTCAAGATTAAACGACCCTTCACTTCGAACTATTCCCTCGACTTCTTCCTTGCTTGGTGTGTATATAGGCAAGTTGAATGAATGCAAATCAGCCTCCTTGATCACCCCCTAAATAGTTAAAACATAAGAACTAGAGAGTAGAGACTTTGTTTATTAAAAGTATTTTCAAATCAATGTGCTTCACAAGAAGAAGATTTTGAAAGGGAAGTCTCTCGTTGATCAGTTTTTCCCCGTGTAGCACGGAAACTTCAACTTCTCAACGTTTATATATATATATATATATATATATATATATATATATATATATATATATATATATATATATATATATATATCTATATATATATGTATGTGTGTATGTGTGTGTGTATAGTGTGTGTGTGTGTGTGTAGTCGTACTATATATATATATATATATATGTCTATATCTATATATCT